TACTAACTAAAGCTTTATGCACACTGTTATTATGCTCACTTCAACATCACAGAGGCCCAGCAATTCCTAGTCAAGCCTACTTGGTTTCTTAAGTGCGAACACACACAGTGTACCCATTGGTCTTCTAGAATACCAGTGTGAGCGCAAATGGAACTTTTGTTTTTGATGTAGTTATTAATGTCCAACTTTCCAGCGGATGATCCATTGTCGAGTCCCACTCTGTGTGGAATCAAGTGGCTTTTCTACGACAACACTGACCCCTGCCAGAGGAATGTGACATTTCAACCGCTGTACTGTCAATGAAGGTGAGACCACTACTCCGCCCATGTTTGAGCAGGGAGACGTGATGTAACCACGCTGCATTCAGGCCGCAATTAACTAAAACGCACACCTAGCCCATGGAGCTTGCACCATGGTGCGATGTCGCTCGCACGCACACACAAGAGCCAAACGCACAAAAACAACAAATGTTTCAATGAAGTAGCAACCCGTTGAGCAAAGGTGCTCTTGGCTGATGTTTACGCGTTGTCTAGCTTTGCCATGGCGACACAACGTCGTCGCTGAACGGGGCTGGGCTAAACGAAAGGGGTGAACACGAGGATGCCAAACAAGGCACGTGTCGACCACGCTATGACGCTGGGACATGAGTCCTTGCCACAGGGCTCTCTATAAAAGGAAGGAAGAGCTTTGCTCTTTGTGAGGATTTCATTTATGCCTGTAACCAGGCAATAGTCGGAGCCTGTGTGTGGTTACGAAAGGCTAAACAGCGAGACATTTTCCTGGGGCCATGGACACATTAACAGGTCCCAAGGGAGCTCCCTGTAATTGTTTTTTTTTAATTTGACCTTTAAATTATCCACATGAGAGAGCCCGCTGCTGTTCATGAACTCTTCTGCATTGAGGATACCTGTCTATCCACGACCACACTGTGGAAGTTCATTTATTAACATTTAATCACGGAGATTTTGATGCATGTTTCCACGACTCTACCCCGACTGTGCCATCGGCGTAATGTCATGGACATGTAGAATCCGATTTTTTCGCACAGCAGTAAAAACCTCCCATGTTCGAGAATGCTCCGTGGAAACAGACATCACATAACTACTTCTGATATCCTTTTTTTCAAGTGACCTCTTAACCACACACAAGGGGACAGCGTTTCTTACCCAGCTTGTTACAGAGAGTAATGTTCATCACACATTACATTCAAACCAATGTTTAATTCTCAGAGCAGAAATTCAGCCAATTTAGGTCCAAAACCAATTTTTATTTGATATTTTTTGCCATTGATGGGACCATCTCCTCCCTACGCGCATGTATGTACGTTGAACTTCTTTCGGACTATACGTAGCCAGCCGTGCTAATCGGAGGTGCGGGGGAAAGACAACAAACTAAAAACCAGTGTAATTACAGGTAGCTGCTCGGATTAAAACCCAGGATGTCAGTCAGCGGTGCCAGCACAGCACACAGACCTCAGTCCACCACTTCTTAGACCTCAGTCCACTTCAGACCTCAGACTAGTTCATAGATTTATTTAGTTATTTTAGAATAACATTTATATATGTTTGTTGCTTGAAAGTCTTAACACATTGTTAGAATTTTTATTAAGAGGGTCTGCCATTGAGATTTTGGCTAATTCCTTGTAATCATTTCCTGTTGGAATTCAATGCATGAACCACCAACCCCATTGATTAAGCGCATGTGATGTCCCATCCAACCATTTCAGAATCTGAATATGTATTTACACTGGAGGAATCGGATGAGCTATAAAGCTCTTTTTCACAGGTGTCCAGAAGTTTTCACAGATGTCAAGTAGGTTTTACAGGTGTGAGAAATGGAACCAAATCACAATCACATTGTGGAAAATTTCAGTACTATACAGTATATCGCTAGGTATTTAACGACCAATTTACAGCAACAGACAGGTGACACAGCTTGCTACACTATGAAACCGAGAGACACGAGTTCGATTCCCAGCCACAGCTAACCAGTGCTGGAATTAAACCATCAACTCCATGGAAAACGGCTTTCATAGGCGAGCGTGCTGACCACTGGGCTATGTAACCACCCAAAAGAGGTCACCGATTAAATTGCACTTGAAGCCTGAGATTGATCGCAGCTTACACCCCTGCCACAGCCCTTCATCTCCCCCCACACCCCCTTCTTTCAGGCTGTTTGTTAGACCATCTGCTATCCCGTAATCTCTGCTGCGAGGAGTCTCACGCACACCAACTGTTGTTGTCTGCACCGAGTGATTTTTTTTTTTGCTTAAATAAGTGAAACCGTGCAATAAACTATAATGCAGTATTTCTATTCAAGGAATGTGTTTATTATGAGCATATATTTTTATTGATTAAAACACGCATTCAGCTATGCCTGTAAACATCTATTGTTTCAAATTCACACACGCTTATTTATTTGATTACGAATTTGGTTTGTGAACGCATTGGTGACTGCATCACTTCCCACCGTGTAAAAATGCATTTTCATTGCCTATAACGGTTCACATATTTCACTCATTAGTCTTTTCCAAACTCAGATTGATAGTATATATCTGGTCAATGGTAAAGAAACATTTCTCTACACCCGGCTAGCACAAGTTGGTGGCCTCTTCATTTGACATTATTTTGTTCCCAATTATCAAAATACGAATGCCTATTAATTAATGAGTAAACACATTTATATGAAGCTTTATAGCTCATTTAGTTGAGCAACGGGGTTCATAATCACAGGGACCTGAGTTCAAATCTCAGTTGGAACCAAGTGAGCCCATCATTCCTAAAGGGCCAATAAAAATGAGAGCTTACGCTAAACACCATTTAATGGAAAGACACGTGTGGCTGTAATGTAGATGGACTGTGTTCTGCCAAAGGAATGTGTAATTTCCACTGCTTGCTCATAACCAGCAACAAAGAGCAGCATCAAGAGGTCATGAACCAATGTCCACACATTGACTCCCTTCATAATAAATGATTAACGAAACACACTGTACTGAAACACTCCACCTCTCTCTGTACACCCAACGCTGTACAATACTCATATCCATGCCACATTTGTGGCGTATCTATGTCTGCACCAAGACTCGCCGTCTGCTTTCTGCGTTCTCTTGCACTCCGCTGTATGCATCTGTATATTCCACCGCATACGTTTTACACATTGGCACTATGACGTTAGGGACAGCTGCACCATGCAGCCGTGTGTTCATGGCTTACTGCACTCTGCCGCCCAGCTCTTTCATGCCTTGTGACCTGTCGTGACCTTCTTTGCTCATAAATGAATGAACGCAAGGGCTAGCAGTTGCTCACGAATTGTTGGCCAGGCTATTGAACGTAAGAGACATGCATGACATATGGGGGAAATTCCGGGGGATTTTTTTTTCAACCGTGCGTCACTTTGGGATGTAAAAGGGATGCGATTTACTCTCTCTCACACACGCAAACATACACAAATCCCAGTAAAATTATTGGACTGTCTGTGCAAGTGTTCTTAGCGAGTATTTATTGAGGTATGCAAAGCACACAAAGGTGGGTAGTGTAGCAAGCATCACGTGTGCCCAGCATCATTTGCCCCCCCAGTCCTGATGTGCAGACAGTGCCATGTACAATTTTCTAGCCGAGTTGACCAAGAGGAGTTCCAGTGCAGGTTGAAATACCAAGAATTCTGCGCATAATGGTCAAGGATCGAACTCAGATGTACCCAGGAGCATAGTTGATCACATAAACCAATGCATCATCATCACCCCCCACTAGACTGTTAAGCTAAGTGCTGTTAGGATGCGTCTATGAAGGTGGGAACACCATGAGGGGGCGTGTATTGGGATCAATATTAGGCACAACCAAGGCTGGCAATTTTTGCCTGATGAAATAATTTTAGGCCGAGTCGATTTAGACGAAGCCCAAACCAGATTCTAATATTCCTTATGAGTGATGTACATGGAATTCAAAGGCACTATGATTTCAGGACAATTTTCAAAACAGCTTTAAACTGTTGTTAATCACAACGAAAAGTCATTGGCCAGTAATTGTTTTAATCAGTTTGATAGAGTTGTACATTAACTCGAATGTGTAATAGTTTAGCTTTTAATATACAGTATGCCCACAATACTGTGGTCTGGTAAAACCGGAAGCCGTTAGTTCCTGCACTTAAATTTGTACATCATATGGAGATTTCATAACTTTTCAATCTTCTGACGATTTTTTTAAATCAACAATTGTGGTATTGATGCCCTGTCACAAGACAAAAAAATCGCGCAGAGCATCACTTGACATCAGGCAAAGAGTTAACTTTGGATCCTCTTACATAGGTATCTGTCATGCAACAATACAATGGCAAACACAAAATTTTGAATGTTTGCCATCAATCAAAAATCCGGTCCTCCAGACTTGAATATGCTAAATAAAGAGAAGCCCAATGTTCTGCAACAATAGTTTTTGTTTTGCCGTCATTCATTAGCAGGCTTCGACAAACTCACTATACTTGAGAAAATGTTTTAGTAATGTGTAGCAATCTCAACTTTTAACCCAGACTTTAATAGTGTCAGCTCAGAGCTCTGACATAGGCTTTAGTCCATAGAGTTCTTCAGCAAACCCTGAATATGTATTGTTTAAAAGGGCACATGAAGGTGTCAATGGATAATATAATCGTTAACCTCCTCATCTCTATTCTACCGCTACTACCATGGCCGTTGCTCTCAGAAACTGGACGCCTTGATTCAACCTCCATTTTCTAGGATGCGGCCTACACGCTTGGCAGACTCATCGAATCCAAACTGAATGCCGCAGCCTCAAGACAAGACTTAATAATGATCCCCCCCCCAGTCTCTCCTTGCATAGCTTGACCGTGGAACTACATTCTTCTGCCTTTCCAACCTCATAAAACCTGATGCAATTCAAGAATCGTCTCAACGATAGCTCTCTCTGTTTCTGCCCTCTACTTAGCAACTGTGATAACAAAAGAACAAAGTTCTGTCCCCATATCGCGCTTCCCGACGCTGCACTCACTGTGGCGCTGGGCTCATCTCCCAGCAGCTTTTGCAGAAGTAGCGGAAGGTGCAGGTCCGCGTCCAGCTGAAGCCACGTGGCCAACTCCTCCAGTGCGGCGTGGTCCAGCCGCCCGCTACCGCCTCTATCGCAGGCATCAAACGCGTCCCTCAGCTGCGTCACATAATGGTCCGACTCCCCACCGCTGGCCGGGTCTACGTCAGGTCCTCCCCGCTGTTGAAGTCCGCAACGGGGGCTGCTCACCACACCGTCGCTCCCGTCCAGCCCATGGTCTGGAGTCTGGCAAGCGAAACCATTTTCGCCGTTGCATTCAGACCACACGAGCTCTAAGCTCTCGGCACTGCCGTGCCGTGCTCCGTGGCCGGCAATCCCAACGTCCTCCGTGGTACCAGAGTCTTCAGTGTCAGCTGAACAGCGCTCCTCCCAGTCTGGTGTTGCATTTCGACAAACCTCAGTGTCATTTTCACAGGTGGCCATGGGGCCACTGCACCTCGACCCGTTGCATCGCATCCCACAAGGTCCTTCTTCATCGCCTACATCATCGGTCCCACAATGCTCTATTTTGCTTGCGGAGCAGTGATAATCCTCTATGCGAAGATAATCCATCCCATAATCTTCTTCCCCTGCACAGAAAAGTGCACGCACACGACAAGGTTAAAAAAAGCATTGCCTTTATAATAAAATTATATTTAATAATGTTCAGCCCTTTGTCATTCTACTGTTAAAAGCAGTTCTCGACATGCCATGTCAGTCACTGGGATTATTTGACCATACTTCACCATGCAGGTCTGGTGAGGGTTAGTGATGGGGGGGTGGGGGCTCAGGGCCAGTTCAGAAATCAATTTCCGCCAATGGCTTGAAGCCAACAATAAAGATGAGCACGGCCTGATGGTCATCTAAGCTGCGATGTGCTTAGACTTATTTTTCATCTGTTCATAAGCGTCTCTCACTAGCATTTCATTAAACCACTGATGTTAACCAATGCCAGGAATCAAACTCACGTCATCGGGTTCATAGTGTGGAGCATAAACCACGACACGAGCACTCCGCTAGTCTTCATTTGCATTTTGTGGTGGAAATTCCACGTTCCTATTATGGGATCCAATCCATCAAAAGGAAAACCACTGTTACTTTATAATCTGGCGAGGTAATGGTTGTGTGTGTTCGAGCACTCAACCCACAATTGTAGGATTGTGAGTTGTTATCTCGATGGATGATTGAATAGGTGGTAGTCCATCATATAAGGAGGTACTCAGCATAATCAAAATCACCTTGTGAGAGGTCAACAGTGATCATCCTTTCGAGAAATAACCCCGACACAATCGCTTTAACATACATTTCTGCCAATGACTTGGACCCGGATAATAGAGATGACTGCACGTCTGAGCTGTTAGATACTTTGACTTATTTTCTTTAATTGTTCATAGTGGTCTCTCTCGCTAGCATTTAATTTAACGAGTGAACCAAGCAGAGCCCATTCACTCCCTATTCTCACTTGTTTATCCATTGTTCATCCAACTCTGCAAGATGGGGGGGGGGAGTGCATATGGGGGTGATTACAATCAAAATATCACACAAGAGTCGTGGAGTGGACAGGTGGCCAGCCAGATGGGCACCGTGGGAAGAGTTCTTGCACAGGACACAGACCAACATGATGAGTCTCCTGCTGCAGCATATTTGTGGTTGCCACAAGGATAAATGGTGCCTCTACATAAGGTAATAGTTGGATTCTTGGTTCTTTCGGTAAAGTCACGTAGATAGAAAATAAAATACAATTTAAAAACATTTATTTTATAGAAATAAAAATAAAAAGTTTTTTTTTTATCTACGTGACTTTACCGAAAGAACCAAAAGTATGAATTCCTGCAGTCACGAAAGTTTTAAGTCAAACAAGGTAATAGTAGTTGTCTTTATCACAACTGTTTCTTCAGTGGCAAGCTCAAGGCTCCAAAGGCAACAATCTACACCTCCCGTTTTCCAGCTGTTGTCCTTATAAAACTGACTTGGCATCCAGCAGGACACGATTCTACATTGCTCTACGAACCTCGCAAATGGACTATGAAATCCTGGGATTCTATAATTGCAGAGAAGTGGCGCATTAATGAGTGCCACTGCAAGCTAACATCAGTGGTGAGTGTGATACGTGAATGGGTCCTGGGCACGCCTACTCCTTCATCAAGTCACACTGAACAATATGGGCAACTATGGTCAAACAATCCCCTTTGATTGTCACGGTCTGAAGGGGCTCTCATCCAGCTGTGGATTGCCGAAGGACTGTACACTTTTATTTCTAAAAGATAACATGTTACGAAGCTTACCAACGGCTTTCTTGAAAAAGTGATAGTGAACATCAATGACCGTTAGTTATTTAAAATATACTTATTAAAATGTCTAATTATAAAATCTTGTAATAATGTATTGGGTAAAATAATCTTGCAATTTCATGTTAATATCATTGTCTGGTTAATGGTCATAGCGTTCAAATACAATTTTTAATCATGTTAATAATATTCTGGTAGAGGTAAAATGGCAATAATAATTCAGCACATTATTGATGCATTCGAGTAATAGTCAAAGTGTCTCCCCTGTTCAAATGAGCATTGGGTCAGTGTTGTCCCTGAACTTGTTGTGGAAATTCCACCTTCCTATGACAGGGACCAGCCGAGTATAGAAGAATGACTGGACAAAGGGCTGTCACAGGTGGACAATCGCTTTTGCATAAGTTAAGAACTGCATATACACAAGTTGTATAACCAAAACTTGCAGATCCACCACATGTGGTTATTGCATTGCGCTTGTAGGCATAACTGTATGTTTGTCATTAAACCACGCACTGTAATGGTTGCGTAAACATCTTCAATGTGGCCACACCAAATTCCCTGCCTTTCCATAATGACTATGCGTAAATCGTTAATTGGTGCAAATGTGCAACCTTTCACATTCTTATGACAAAGCCAAGAGTATCTGCTGCAGGGTGTGTACCAGCAAGTAATATTGTAGCCAGTTTGTATTAAGACAATGCAGTAGCCACTCAGCCAGTTGCTGGAGACCATTCAATTTCCAAATTATCCAGGGTTTTTTTTTCTGGCCTATCATCAAGTTACCATGAGCACACCATCTGCTGTAAAGCGAGCGTTTACGTTTCTGTGACATCACTTGCAAGAACACTTTTTCAAGTTCGTCAAGGTCCAGAAGCAATTGTGTTTAATAACTTGCAGATTTCATTCGCAATCAAATACGTGTTGTCATAGACGTGCTTAAAACTGAGAATGATTCCGTGTATTTTTGGAGCAACGAATGTTTTGGAGAGTATTTGTTGAGGTTTTGAATATTGAATGGGCCAAAGCTTTCTCCCTGTTCATACACGCCATTGGATGGTACTCATGTCCATAGAGGACCCTGAGCCAGTGCAATAGAAATTCCGTATTCCTTTATCAGAGGCCACTCTCGACTAAGAATGAACGATGTTAACTTTTCACAAAAACCTGATTTTTTTTTCAATCTCGAGAGCAATAATAAGCCGAGTCAATCCCTAAGAAGGATTTGAACTCGCAGTATTGCGAATACAGGCTTCTAACCACAGCACCATTTGGTCAGACAATTATGGAATACAGGTGTAATAAAAGGACTCAGACACTTCTTTCTGTCTTCGTGTCCTTTATTGGGTTCTTGTCTTCTCCCACACGGCACTCTGTTATAACTCTGTATTTATAGCCCCCGGCTGTTGACTGCTATTATAGCTTCCTTTCTCTTCCCGCAGACTCTCTGCTTCATCTACCGTAACCTCCTCCCTGCAGACTCGCTGCTACCCCTATGCAGACTCTCGCTGCCACCCCTATGTGCAGACCCTCTGGCTGCTACTGTATGCAGACCCGCTGCTGACTCTGTATGCAGCCCCGCTGCTGACTCTCTGTGCAGCCCCGCTGCTGACTGCAGCCTCCTCGCTGCTTCGGGTCGGTCACCGCTGGCCAACGGTGCCGATCCTCGCTCCCCCGTGTTCGTGGCGATCTCGCCACCCTCCGCTTCGCCCTTCGTGGCCTCTCTCTGTTCCTGGTTCCCCGTCACTCCCCATCCTCTTCCGGTTCCCCTCCTTCTATAGCTTAACCCCTCACCCCCCCACGTGACCTAACTCCTCCCCTCCTGACGTCACCTCCGGAGGGCCGTTTACGCCCGCATTACATCACCCTCCCCCATAAAGAAAATCCAGCCGATCTCGGCTGAATTGCAACCTGACAAGAAATGCGGGTGTAAAGGGCCAACACGTAAAAAGACACGAAGCATGCAACAACAATATAACAAGAACACAACACAATACAATTTTAACGAAACGTGAGGGATTTCGAGCGAGTACGGGTGGCCGGGCCGTCCCGGACGGTCGGCAGCCCACCCGCCGAGCGGGAACGTGGAAGGGTTTTAAGGGCGACGGGAGTGAGTTCATCCGTCGCCATTAGAGGCCCGCCACTGTCCCGGTCGCGCCCAGAAACATCCCGTAATCGCGTCCGCGGAGGGATAGGAAGAGCTGCAGGTCCCGTTGGTTCCGCGGCTCCGGTCGGCATCCCACGAGCGGAACGTCCTCCTTCCTGCTGCGTCACGGCCGGCTTGTCTGTGCCGGAGGGTCTTTCTTTGGGGCGTCCGCTGTCGAGGCCTCCTGCTGGGGCGGCCCCGGAACCCGGGCCCAGCAGTCTCTGGCATAGTGGCCCCGACGGCCGCAGCGGAAGCAGTCGACGTCGGGGCGGCGCGCAGCGGGCACCCCGTCCCGACGCGGCCGCACCGGCGGCGGAGCCCGCGGCCCCTGCCCGCTCCGGGCCGGCCACGGAGTAGAGGCAGCCGATAACTCCTTCTGGCCGGTCGCATCCGGCACGTACACGGCCTTTGTAGGGTCCCACCCTACGGCCCCCACATCGACGACAGGACCGCCCGTCCACGCCGTGACCTGTTTCCAGCGGCGGAGATTGAACTGGGCGTCCAAACACTTGGCCGCGGCCCGGGACGTGAGTTTTTCGTGACCGCACGCCGGCATAGGAATGCCACGATCTCGAGACAACTCCAACATCTTCCCCAAGATGAGTGGTTCCAGCAGGTCAGGCTCCGTCTCCGGGTAAGCGGCCATAGCGAGTTCCAACACGGCGCCCCTGTACGCTACAGGCGACTCCTCAGGTGCGCGTTGCCGCTGCACGAATCGGCGATGGGCGTCATCCGGTGGCTCGTACGCGTCCGCCATTTCATCGAACACCCCTCGCAGAGTTTTCTTCTTCGCAGCTTTTATAGAGCGAAAAAAACGAACAGACTCATCATCAAGAAGAGTCGGGAGCACCTCCAGTGCCTCAGCGTCCGTCCACCTTGCCATACGTACCGCCGCCAAAAATCTACAGGCGAACGCACTCCAATCGCCCCCGATGGAGAATTCTTTGACGGTTGTAAGGTGACGACTGCGACTCCTTAGCTTGCTTCCGTCCGTCGCTGACTCTTCCGGCGGTAAGTTCAGCAAGGCGTCGCAACGCGGTGTCGCCAAGATGGCGGACGATCCTCGCGGCGGCCCCAAAATGGCGGCTTCCCGCCTTCCGTGGTGCGCCACGCCCAAGATGGCGTCTTCACGCCGCGTGGCCGATGGCGGCGCCATCGA